GGGTAGCTCTGCTAAAATTGGGCTATAACTCTGCTAAAATTGAGCTATAACACTGCTAACAGTGGGGTATAGCCCTGCTAACACTGGGGTATAACGCTGCTAACACTGGGGTACATCGCTGCTAACACTGGGCTATATCCTGCTAACAATGAGGTATAACCCTACTAACACTGGGCTATATCCTGCTAACACTGGGCTATATCCCTGCCCACACTGGGCTATATCCCTGCTAACAATGGGCTATAGCCCTGCTAACAATGGGGTATAACGCTGCTAACACTGGGGTATAACGCTGCTAACACTGGGCTATATCCCTGCTAACAATGGGGTATAACCCTACTAACACTGGGCTATATCCCTGCTAACACTGGGCTATATCCCTGCTAACACTGGGCTATATCCCTGCTAACACTGGGCTATATCCCTGCTAACACTGGGGTATAACGCTGCTAACACTGGGGTATAACGCTGCTAACACTGGGGTATAACGCTGCTAACACTGGGCTATATCCCTTCTAACACTGGGCTATAGGCCTGCTAACAAAGAGCTATAACCCGGCTAACAATGGACTAACCCTGCTAACACATGGGTGACCCTGCTAACAATTGGGCAGCCCTGTTGTACTGCAGATAAAGATTATTGTACAATTTACAACAAAAGAATCATATTTACCCTTTCCCTTGTCTGTTCTTGAAGTAACAACTGTCTCCTCCTTTCTAGTTCTTGCTGACCTTTCTCAAAATTGGCTTTTTTCTTTTCTTCAAGAGTCACTACAAAAAAATAATCCAGAAATCGAGAAAAATATCAAGTATCACTATCAATTACATTTCAGCATGTCCTGCTTCATAACCATTTTAGAGTACAAAGTATTGAGTAAAATAACAGTAACCTGTAACTTGATGTAATTACTGTGATAGATATATTTTAATATACAGAATACTGTTTATATTCAGCACCCTATTCATAATAAGTACATTACTTCAAAATTCATAACTCAATCAAGTTCACATATTGTTGTTTAACTTACTTGGTTTAATTTTTTCAGCTTCTTTGTCAGCAGACTCCACACTATCAACACTACCTTGTTTAGTTAATACTGGCATGGATGGCATCAACGGAGGCATATTCAATCCAATCAGACCCAGACTTGATGAACTACTAACACTAACAGGAGCTTGTGGTGGCTGGACACTTATAGAAGACCCACTACGCTGTCGCCTCATTGAAGGTGGTATTAAATCAGGAGGCAGTACTTGTGGTAATGTCTGACCACCCTTTACTATGTCCACCAAGTGCATTGCAAGTACAAACTCATCTCTTGTCAATTTACCATCATTGTCGATGTCAGATAAGCCCCTAAAAATGCAAAGATGAAAATTTATTTTTCACATCAACAGGAAATGGTTTCAATTACTGATCTGGAAGCCTCGTTAGAATTAATACTTTATGTTGAATCATCTCCATCCCTATACCATGTTATTAGCAGACAGTGATATATCATGCTTTTTCACATATTGAAAATCAATTTTAACATGGATTAATATTGGGTATGTCTTCATAATTGGCACCGATTTGCAGCCATGTTAGGGACGACGTCAAAAGATCGATGTCGGATAAAAAACTTATTTCCTTTAGTTTGGGGGTGGGGGTTTTGACCTCAAAAAGTTTCCATCCTACAAAAACGATTTTATTTTTTAATGAAGTAAAAAAAATCTTGGAGTATTTGTAGTTCGTTTTTTTTTCTATCCAATCATGGACAGAAATAACCGAAAACTGAAAAAAAACAAAAACAGAAAAATGGTTTGGTTCGAGTGTAAATCTGTGCGTCAAATGAGGTGCATTTGTAAAACCTTTTTACACCCTCCCGACAACCAACTGCTATGCAATACTACTGTCCGATTATCAATTTGTATTTAATGGTGAATGCAGTCTAACGCCATGACGAATATTTATCAATTAAGTTTCAGTGGGGGGTAGGGGGGTTTGGAAAAAAACTAAAGGAATTAAGTTTTTTATCCGACATCGATCTTTTGACGGCGTCCCTTAGATTTGACCAGTTCTTTATATTGTTGTTCCAGCTTAGTTTCAGCTTATGCTCATAAAAAGCCTAATATACCAGTAAGTTGATAGAAGGTTAGAATTGTAACTCAATAAATTGCATAGTTCGTTACCAACCACAGAGTGTGGTTCTGAAACACTGAGTTTATATTTCAATATTTTAGGGGATGCAGATTGAGGTATTGTGGTATAAATTGTACAAATTCCTACTGCTGAATTAACTGCTGGTGCCCTATACCATATAATTTCACTACATGCTTTTTTTACCTGATATTTATTTATTTATTTATTCAGTTAGTTTATTATAAAGTTACTTATTTAGTTACTATTTATTTTTTGTACTGTGGAATACTTTATTATCGCTGGAATTAATTTTCGCTGAAAAGGCTTTTTGGGCGTTTTGCTTGGAATTTATTTTCACTGATTTTTTCATGAGTTTAATGTGAAATATAGGAAAAAAAGTATATTCACTGGATTTTATTTTCACAGAATCATCCCTTCAGCGAAAATAGCGAAAATAAAGTATTCTACAGTATATATTATTTATGTTATCATTTATTTATTTATATATGTATATTTTTTACTTTGGACAATACTTATTAGAACAATTTGCCCCTTTTATTGCCCATGTGTTTAATTCATTTAAGATTACTTACTCAAACTCTGGGAAGCAGGCTCTACTAGCTTCGCTATAGCTATTTCTGCTTCCCAGCCATATTATACAAATTTACTAAGACTTTTGTTCGTTTATTTATTTGTTCCTTTGTTTATTTGTTTATTTATTTATACTTGTACATTTATTTATTTATTTGCTTACTTCCTATTGTAACTTTTTTCACCTTGTATAATATGGGAAATAAAACAACAACAACAACAATAACTGTCATCCTTGTTGAATGCACTACCACGGTATGGATGAGCAGAGATCTATACTTACCATATCTGAGCCAGTATAGGCTGTGATAAACCTGATTGCACTAGTATACTCCTGGCTGGCATGCCAGCTAAATAACCACTTCTCAACCGGTCATGCGTATTAAATAATTGATTGTATTTTAATTTAGAAGACTGAGGCACTGACCATTCTCCACTTGCCCTGTAAATGGAAAACCAAATATTATGATATTAGTGATTATATCTTTGGAAGATGGAGAGGGATAAATTATGTTTCACAATGAGTATGATGATTATTATTCCAATTTATTAATTTCAATGTCCACTGAAGCTAGGCAAGTGAACACTAAGTTTCAATAGATTACCTTGTAGTTGGTGGTGAAGCGGAACCTGTTGAACTTACAGATCCGGCTCGATGTAATCTGTTATCCACAGGAAAAGATGATCCAATAGTCATTGGACTGTTAACACCTATGAATAGTAGGATTCAAACATTATTAAATAAGTACCATTGAAAAACAACTGGACCTAAGCGTTCTATATGGACATAGTCAAATTATAGATGCCTGTGATCTATAAGAGTTATCAAATAACTTCTCATACTCACTGAACTAAGAATAATATCACTGATCTACGAGAACAGATACAGAGCAAAACCCACATACCTAAAGGTGCCATGGTAGAAGAAACAGGTGTTGTTGATACCGGTAGTGTTGCAAAGCCACCTTGTGTCATGATAGGAGTGGGCTGCATGGATGGCGTACCCATTGGCATCATGGACCCCATTGGTGCTATGAAAGGAAAATCACACATGAACAATACGTTGCAGAATACATGACAGAGATCAGCTGTAACAAAAACAGTTCCCTTTGATAGTGACCAACCACAAGACTACTGCTAGCCTAATTTTTAATCATTTTCACACATTTTTGAAACAAGCTGTTCAATAGATTTTGATTTTGTTTGTGTTCGGCAACATGTTAATTTTGTTACATTCATGTACAAATATACTATATATATCATAAGTGTTCTATAATAATCAAAGCAATTTGGGGTAGAGCGACAAAAACAAAAATTGCCCAAAAATGTTGAAATTTGTTTGAGTTTTTCCCAAATATAGCTTTATGTATCATAAAACACACATGATACTGTTGATCGTTTACTCGCACATAAAAATGACACGTTCCCGAACACAAACAGATTTTTTGAAACAACACCAGATTGCTCAATGTTCAATACATACAGTTTCAAGAATGTGGGTAAAATTCAAAGCAAACACACCAAAGTTTTCACGTTCTATTACCCATGTATTAGCATAAGACGAACTCCTGAAACTGTTGTATCGTTACCGGTAGGTCTACTCCAAAAAATTAATAAATTCTCAAATCCAACAGGTCATGTTTTACCCTATATACATACAAACATACAAACTCGGTCAAGTAATGTACCAATCTAAAAAATGTTTCTGTGATCCCAATTTTTGTTTCCACATATGACCTTGTATTGTAATTTTGTAAAACTTTTAGATTAATCTTAATATATCAATTGACTGTGGTAAATGGTCATACTATCAGTGGAAACAATCTCTGCTGCCAGCTGGTCATAACAGGGTATGATAAATGTATGCATGACTGATTGGTTGAAGCACCAATGTGTCTGAAAAACAATGGAGAAGTGAACTGAAATGAAACAGTTAACCACCACCAGTTATATGAATTAATAACGATTGTTCAATGGTACTCAGTAAATTTATGTGACCAATGAAAATTTGCACTTTAGGTAGGAACAAAAAACTTTTCAAGAATCATTTTCCAAATGATTGAGACAATCCACCTCAGTACTGTTCACAAACACTAAGAAGAAATGAATTATTCAGATTCAGACCTTGCCACACAAAATTGGCAAAACAATCAGCTTAAATTAGTATTATGGATACAAATTCATATTAATCAGAATTATTGCATTGAGAGGAGTCTGGTAGTCTTCTAATATTTTGAATGCAATTAACTTAACAGTACATGAAAAAGTGCAATTCTATCAAGAACACTGACCCAAGGCAACAGCAATTTCAAATAAGTAATATTGCTATAAAAAGAGATAACTAATTTGAAATAAGGCCTACATGTACCAATAATCAATATGGCTAACGAATAGCATTTTTTACCACTGAACAGAACCATATTTCCTGCATTAAATACATGCCTTCAATTCACACATGTATGACATGTTTTAATACAGAAAATAGAGGAGCATCTCAATACATGTATTTTGTGTTAAGATGAAATGACATTAATACTATGAACACCAAGCATCAAAACATGTATAATTTGACAGATGAAATAATAGGGGTCATAATCTAGGTTTTCATTCTGACCTGTGTAGAGAGAACCTCTTTGATATCTTTGAGGACCTCCCCATGTACCTAGTACAAATTAAACAATGCATACTGTCGTAACATTCTGAATAGAAGTGTGTATAAATGTAGTTTCCAATCATCCAAAAACAAGTTTAGAGAGAGTAGAAGACTGTGGACAATGTGGTCTATGACATTAACAGGAAATGCACATTATATGTTTTTATTATATGGTTGCATATACCAACATATATAACAGATATATATGCTGAAAATTATAAATTTATTAACATTGTACAACTCTTCATTAGTACAGGAAACAAATCAGTAAATCTTTATGCAACTCCACCAAATGGGGCCCACACAACACAAATTATATGGCCTCAATACTTCAATGACAGAAAGATAATAAAGATACATCTGGCAGACACTGCATCATTACATGCTGTCATTATGAACCATTAACATGGAGTGATTTTTATTATGTGTAATTTTAGGAACAGAGAGTTATACAGTGTGGGTATTCAGTACCATATGCAACAAAATATACTTGAAATAGCCCTACACTACTGGAAAGTAGGGTGCATTTTTCACCAATTTTTATATCATTTCGTCCATATCATAGCCACATTATCAAAATCTATATTTATTGGAGTTTGGATCATAGTTTAAAGCCCAAACAACTGATTTCATATCAGAAATGAATCATCTCTCCCTAATAATTGTTCACTCTGATTTGTACCAAACCATGATTGTTAGCATACAAAAGAATACACACTACAAATATAACTCTCCTCTCCCAATGATACACACAGCCAATGTAATATCAATATGGTATGAGATACAGGCACACATATATTCACAATTAGCACAGCCAAGGTGACGTTATATTTCACCTAAATAAGAATGTGTGTAGTTGTTAGACATTGGTCGTAGATAAGATCTCATTAAAGAAGGACTGGAAAAGCTCATCATAGGTGCTGAGAATACAAACAGAAAGAGCAGTGAACACCAATAAAAAATCAAAGAAAGCTTAGAAAGGACTCCCGTGTGCTGTGAGTATTGAAGACACATTAAAAATGAATTCAAAATTACTTGTACTTGAGATATTGATGGAATAGCTGAAAACTAATTATGTAAATCAGATAGCTGATATGAACAGATTTGAGTGTAAAACTAATAAGGCCTGCGTAATGTAATATCTATGTACCAAGTTTCATTGAAATGTGATTAGAACAAAAAAACTATAAATTATTATTAGAGAATTAATATGAACAAATTTTAACCCAAAATTAATTGGGCCTGTATATTGTTCTAGGGCATTTATGTACGAAATTTTCATGTATGTAAATGTGTCGAAATGGGCGTAGTGCGAGTGGTTTGTGCTAGTAGCACTAATCTGAAAAAGTAGTAGATCTAGTGCTAAATTGGTACTAGATCTAGTGCTAAAATGTGCACAGTGCGAGTGGTATTGTTATCGCATTGTCAACGACGTCGAATAATAGGAGGGGCATCAACAACCACTTTCATATGCAAACTACAAACAGTATAAAACATCGGCAATATGCGCGAGATGTCCATAATAATACTTTCTTTATATAACACCGGATTCTGCCGTAAATTCGCCCATCCGAAAAATCGCCCTGGGGATTTCGCGGCTGATGGGGCTCAAAATTTAAAAAAATAATTATCAAATATTTTGGGGGATATTTTCATTGTATCCAACTACACAGACTTTCTACGCCGACAGTATGGCCACCCAAGACAAAAGAAACTATTGCAAAAAATCCTAAGGGCTTTTAAAAAATATTATTGCAGAGAAAGTGTCTAGACATATATAGTATGGTCACGTTAAAAAATCGGCGAAGTTACATCATATTCAGTTTGTTCCTCCATGATACAATGTAATAACAGGATTGCGTGAATATGTATATGCCCATTCACAGGTCGCAGTACACACAAAATCCACAGAGCTTTACAGGGACCCGGGACTTAGACTAGGAGTATACCAATTTTTTATTTAGTTCACATATGGCATCATAATTTTATTTTCGAAGATCTATTTTCATTAAGTGTGGCGCCGACCAGAAATAAAACGGCACATCAGCGATTAAAAAAAATCAACGCGGAATTCCACCATTTACATAAAGTTTCCATTCGGCAAAGTTGAAAACACAAACTTCCCCCACAATACCATACAGTATATCTATTCACAATTTGTAAAAATTTGTAAAAATTGCGAAGTTCGACCTGCAGTTTCACTGTTTCAGCTAGTTTCCCAGCCGATCGCGTTGTTCCAAAGGTTTATTACGACAAACGTGGACAATGACATTCTCAATTTTCCCACTGTAGCACATTTCCAATGAATGAAAGATACAACAATTTTACATAAATATTAATATTTTCAGAGAATTACAGGATGCCATTTTAGCACTAGATCTAGTGCCATTTTAGCACTAGATCTAGTAGTTTTTCGGATTAGTGCTACTAGCACTAACCACTCGCACTATGTCCATTTCGACACATTTACATACCTAAAATTTTATTCAAATGTGATGATCAGTAATTGAGATATCAGTGTTAATTAATTATTTCAATTAAGTGATTAATAAGTGTTTTTTTATATATCAGTGGAACATTCATGGAAAAAATTAACTAATTATGCGACTTAGGTAATTAATATCCACAATTATTTACCCTAAAACTAATCAGGTCTCTGCATAGTCCTGGAGGATCTATGTAGCAAGTCTCATTGAAATATGATGATCAGTACTTGAGTTATCAGGTGAAAAGCTGAAAATTAACTAATTATGCGACTTAGGTAATTAATATCCACAATTATTTACCCTAAAACTAATCAGGTCTCTGCATAGTCCTGGAGGATCTATGTAGCAAGTCTCATTGAAATATGATGATCAGTACTTGAGTTATCAGGTGAAAAGCTGAAAATTAACTAATTATGCGACTTAGGTAATTAATATCCACAATTATTTACCCTAAAACTAATCAGGTCTCTGTAAGTGACTATGTACCAAGTTTCATTGAAACGTGATCATTACTACTCAAAATATCAAAAGCTGAAAATTAATTATGCAAATTAGTTAATTAATATGTACTGATATTACCCTAAAAACTATCAGGTCTGTGCAGTGTCCTATGATATCTATGTACCAAGTTTTATTGAAATGTGATGATTAGTACTCGAGATGGAAAAGCCAAAAATTGATTAATCATTATGCAAATTAGGTAATTAATATTGCACAGATTTTTACCCCAAACTAATCAAAACCTGCGCATTACTTCAGAGCATCTATGCTAAGTTTCATCAAAATCCAATGAGTGGTTCTTTAGATACCAGTGGAACAATCATGGAACAGCTAAAAATCAGCTAATTATCATGCAAATTAGGTGATTAATAAGCACAGATTTTTACCAAAACCTAATCAAATCTGCGCATTGGCCCAGAGCATCTATGCACCAAGTTTAATCAAAAATCAATGTATGGTTCTTGAGATATCAGTGGAACAGACACACACACAGACACATACAGACACACAGACAGACACACAGACAGACACACTAACTGCAAAAACTCCTTTTTTGTGCTTCGTACACAGGAGTAAAAAATAAGCAAGTAGGTTTTATATGTCTAATAACACCACAAATATTGATTATTCAATTGCAGCTATACATACTCTTTACCTCAGAACAAGGTTTATGCTTAAGGTAGAAGCCTAGTCATAATTTTTGACAAAATTGGTCATAAATCGCATGACAATGTTCATTAGTTTATTATGTACAATCATGAAGCTAATGTCTCATGGTACAATGAAATAGCATTATTTTTTGTGTTATAGTTAAGTTTATCGAGAAATGTGTCCTAATATTTCTTGAAAGTTGTTATTTTTAGAACAATTCCATAGAACACAATTGCATTTTTTGACACTTTTTAAAACCCAGATTTTTTAAATAATTCAGAACAAAAAGTACTCCATCATTAACAATATATGATTTTTTCAGTCTATGTAACCAGGTTAGATTTTGAGATATTACATAATATCTCTGCCATAGGAACCTATGGTAAAAGTGTTATAATATGACAAAATGGCAACTTTCCACTAAAATACATCCATTATTTTCTCGAAAAAAAGGCTGGTGACCCCAACTTTTATTAGGTTAATATCTTTGTATTGCTTTGAAGTACAGTTTAATGCAAAATTAACAAATTCTGGGTATTTTAATTTATTAGTAGGCTTCTACCTTAAGCCAAAAATTTCGTTTAAAAACTCCCTTACACACTCATTCATTACGATGCATATAATTCATGAAATCGAACATAGGATTTAAACTTACCCATGGGTGCCATAGGCTGGTTACCAAATGTACCTATAACTGGCATAGGATCGGCTTTCAAACGAGCTGGCAGTGTTGTCGGTATCTGACGACCTTCTAATTTCTTTCTAATTAAGAACATTGCAATAGAAAACTCTTTTCTATCCATTCGGCCATCTCCATTCATATCAGCTAGTGTCCTGAAAAACAAACATACATACCGG